GGGGGGAGAAGAGAGGTTTGGTGAAAAAGGCCCCACCTGGGCGGGACGGTAGGACACCTAGCTCCCCCTCCTCCCCACCCAACAAAGCTGAGTTAAGCCAAAGCAAAACAGGACAAAACAACCCAGAGCGGTTTCTCCACACAGCAAAGTTGGAAGGGAACTTGGGAAGCCTTCTAGTCCAGGGTCTCCAACCTTGGCCGCTTTGAGACTTGCGGACTTCAACTCCCAGAGTTCCTCAGCCCACTTCAACTCCCAGAGTTCCTCAGCCAACCTTGGCCGCTTTAAGACTTGTGGACTTCAACTTAGGGACAGGAGCCTTTGCAGGAAGCAACGTTGTTCGCTCTGTTCAGATTAAACCTTGAAGCTCTGTGTGTTCTTTGTATTCCGTTTAGCTTTTTACAGTTTAATTTGGCACTTTAGTTGTTGCCAGCAATTCAAAGGAGAGAAAGGTGGGTGCTTATCTCGAGGAACTGCTTGGGACTCATTACGGGCTGGGAATATCCATAATTCCCAGCATTGAAATAAAGAGAGAGTTGTTTGGACTAAGCGTGTGATTAATTATGGACTCAGGAAGCCTTGGTCAGAACACATGTATAGCCATGGGGATGCTGCAGAGGTAAGTATAACTCACTCACCGGATCTTTTCCGCATCAAAGAGACGCTGCGGGGGACGCTTGAATTTCTTCCATTTCGCTACCCAATCTTTCTGCAAACGGAAAGAGATTTGGATGAATCCTTACCCAAATACTTAGTTATTTTTAAAAAGAAGTTATGGTTTTTGCATTTTATTATTTAACAATGGCTTGGCTTTTCTAGGGCTCCAGCTTGAGTCTTTCTTTTCATCTCTTCCTCACCCCCTCAGTTGATCCGGAGAAAAGAAAACCAAGTATTTAACTGCAGTCAATAAATAGGTGGCGATTGGAGTTGGGAAGGATGCGAGGATATTTGAAATAATATTCCAAGTGAACACAGTAACTGTCTTTATAAAATGGAAGACTTCAACTCCCAGAGTTCCTCAGCCAACCTTGGCCACTTTAAGACTGACAGGCAACTGTTCCAACCCCAAACGCATCCAAAGGTTAATGATGATTAAGAGAGGAAAAAAGGAGGCTCAGCAGATTAAAAAGGTTCAACATGTTTAAATCTAGAGGTCTTCCTGGAAGGCGGCACGTCACCTACCTGGCTCATGCGTTCTTTGATGCGATCGAAATCGATGCGCGGAATCATCTTCAGCGAGATCTGATTCTGGCTGGGCTCCACGTAATCTACCTAGACAACGAAAGAAGGAAGTGGCTTCGGTCAGTGTGGAGGAGAGATCAAAAACACACGGGGGGCCTCGACTTGCAATGGAGCCCAGAATTTATGTTGCCAAGTGAGAAACTTGTTAAGTGAGGATCGCCCCATTTTACGACCTTCCTGGCTACAGCAGCCGTTAGGTGAACCGCTGCAGTTCTCAAATTAGCAACCCCCTTGTTAAGTGAACCAGGCTCCCCCCGCTGACTTGGCTTGTGCCACCGTTGTAACTCTTGAGTTAATTTCTAAGCGTCCAATGTAAATCAGGTGACTGTGGAGATGCTGCTGCAACGGTCCTAAGTATGACAAACGGTCATCACTCAACTCTTTTCAGTGCCGTTGTAACTTCGAACGGTCACTAAATGAACCATTGTAAGTTGAGGACTACCTGCAGTTCCCTAACAAACCTCTTTCCTTCTTCCCAGAAGCATCTTCTGAAAAGTTATCCTGTTTCCCTCCGAGAAACGCCCCGCCTAGACTCGGCTCACCTGAGCAATGTCGTTCTTGTAGATTCCCCTCTTGAGCCGCACCCAAGACTTGGGCTTGAGGTTGGTCATCTCCTTCACCACCTTCAGGACGTCGGTCATCTCCTTGATGGGCACCATCTGCTGGTTCCAGTAGCCCATCCGGAGGTTGCCCACCCCTTCAATGGCCTGCTTCACGTGGGTCTGCTTGTAGGCCTCCACGTAGATGTAGCCCTTCACGTGCTCGGGGGCCACCACCGATTTGATCTGCAAGGGCTGTGGAGACACAGCAGCAGGCAGGCAGGTTACCACCACGCACGGGCCAAGGCGGGAGCTGCGAAGGGGCAGCCAGGAGCTTTCCCCCCTTGGGTTATCCCCGGAATTACGCAATGAGAGGCGGGTTTAAGTAACTTTAGGTCAACCAACCAGGAGACGGTGCGTTCTAGTCCCACCTTAGGCATGAAAGCCAGCTGGGTGACTTTGGGCCGATCACCAGGAGACGGTGAGTTCTAGTCCCACCTTAAGCCATGGAGGCCGGCTAGGTGACTTTAGGCCAATCACCAGGAGACAAGCAAGTTCTAGTCCCGCCTTAGGCATGAAAGCCAGCTGGGCGATTTTGGGCCAGTCCTTCTCTCTGTGTCCAATCCACCTCACAGTATATTGTGGTTGTGGGGAAAAGATGAGGAAGGAGCGTTGTGTTTGTCTGCTGCCTTGAGTTGTTGATTAACTAGTGTAATGGCTGGGTATCAATAAGACACCCGGAGAGTCAAAGGATCTTGGGTAGAAGGAACGACCTCTCTCTGATTTTTGTCCCCACAGATCTTTTAAAACAGGCTAAGGCAGGGGTGTCCAACCTTGGCCACTTTAAGCCTGGAGGACTTCAACTCCCAGAATTCCCCAGCCAGCTAAGGCCTTCTACTCCCCTCCCAAGGACTTAGCCATGGACTGGGCAGCCAGGCCAAAAAAGGCCCAAGGCTCCGGCGACTGGGTCTCCCGTATCCAGGGACAAAGCCAAACCAGACCCGCAAAATCTTCCTCCTTTCCCCACTTTCCACCCCACTCACCGTGTCCGTGAACTGGTAGGCGATGAACTTCCTCATCAGAGCAATCGCGGTGGAACGCTCCTCTCCGATCTTGCGTGGGGACACCAAGAGAAAGATCAGTGGCAGCCACAGGGCTCCACCTGGCCTCACCCCCACCGTTCTGCCCCACAGGCCCTGCTTAAGAAAGAGGCTTCGGGGCCGAAAGGATTAGCCGGCGACAGCGCCATTGCCTAGGGGGGCCTCTGTTCGTGTCCACATCAGGGGAGCTGGAGCCAATGACGGGAACTCACCCTGCCAGGCAGCAGCACCTGGGTCTCAAAACACAGGCTTGCTAACCCCCAACCCAGCGTCCTAACCCCGTGAGCCACCTGACCTGAAGTCCAAGCAGCTGCTTCAGGAGGATAACTGAGTTTACAAAATCTATTGCCTGTCCATCGTATCATAAGGGGACCCTGGGAGGCGTAGTTATATATACGGTCAAAACATGAGAAGACGTTAAAAGGAGACCTGGGAAAGGTGGGGGAGGAGTGGGGAGGGGAGGTGGGATCTATATATTACTCAATTAACCCCCTCCATCCCGCTGCCCCCCCCCACTAGGGGCCCAGCTCATCTTGACCCACGAAGGCTTACCTTACATTTCACTGTCCAAAGGTTGGGGTCCCTGAATAGAAGGGAAACACAAGCCTGTAAGGTTGGTGTGTCGCATCAAACAAGGAGTTCCTGCTCCTTGGACCGACTTAAAGCGTCTTGGCTGGGCCACTTCAGCCACCACCACCACCGGTGCCCTCCTTGCAACACCCCACAGGTAAAACCCGCCATCTCTTACTTGACTCCCGGAAGTAGCTGCTGTTGTGTAATGTCGTCAGAAAGCTCGTCGGAGCCGCCATACACGCTAGAGAGACCAAAGGAGAAACAAACCCTGGCTGAAAGGCCGGAAGAACTCCGGAAACAGGGCCGCTGATCAGGAACCAAAGGGGACTCTTAGCAGAGATGCTCCTACTCACGTCTCGCCCACCGAAGACTTGGCGTATTTCTTCATGTAATACTCGCCCAACTCTTCTTCTCTTTGGTCCCTGCAGAAAGTGGGAGAGACAGAGAGTAGAGAAGTATGAAAAAAAAGAGGAATTGTTGGAATGTATTTTTATGCAACAACTACAGTAGTATTCTGCCAGTAGATGGCAATGTTTACAAGTATGGATCTATATGCTCTTTTGTTCCAAGTTACAGTTCCTGTTACAGTAAAACAGTTGAGCAGTAAATCACATGGTGACTGTACACTTTGTTCTGTGGTGCTATATATAAAAAGAATTTCTAACAGGATTGGAACCACATGATTGTACTTCCCCCTGTGACTGGGAGCTAGACACATGAGGATGTTCTAGGCTGTTACTGTATTTTATTAAATTATTTGCCATCCAGCTCGTTTTCACACGACTCCGGGCAGCTTCTAATCTGCTAAACCAATATTACAGATTAAAAATAAGACAATAAATATAGTATTATAGTTAACAAAGAAATAGCTAAGATAATGGTGGAGTGGAGGTGGGGTCATCTATTTAACCCAGGGTTTCCCAAACTTGGCAACCCTCAGGTAGAGAGCCCAGAAGAGCATGAAGCCGTGGGGCTAGTTAGTCCCCTGAAAGCCCAACTTTTAACTAACTTTAATGGTGTTTAATTGCCTCCTTTTAAACTTTTAACTTTTACAAACTGTTTTTATATTTTGACATTTTAATGTACAGCGTTCAGAGTCCCTCTCTGTGGAAGACAGGCGGGGGTGGGTGGGTTCAGAAATGTGAAAATAAATGATAACAGATAACAATCAGAGTTGGAAGGGACCTTGTAGGTTATCTAGTCCAATGAATAAACAAATAAATAAATAAATCCGGGAAAACTATAGCCAACGCGTAAATGGCTTCTCTAAACATTTCATAATGGTGTTATTTAACATTAAAAGATATGAACTGAAACACAAGACCTTTCTGGCAGCTGTGCCCTGTTCTCCCCTCCCTCCTTCCCCTCCCCCTCCCTTTCCTATTACCTCCACAAGTTCTGCAGTCTTCGGGCTCCGGAGCGGTCTTCATCCAGCACCACATTGTCGATGTTGGAGGCTAAGAAGAGAGGCAGGAGTTGGCAAAGGGCAGGAGAGAGAAGGAGAAGCAGAGAGGCAGTGGGCAAATTTGAGGAGAAAGCTGAGAAGGAAGGACCAGCAGCTTCCAGATGTGAAGTTTGGGGGCTGGGACAGCCTACTGCTCTCTGCGAAGTCTAGAACACTTACTGAAAAAGCCCAGAAAAAGACAAAAGGAAGGAAGGAAGGAAGGTAGGAAAAAAAGAAAGACTTTTGCAGCTCTTGCAATCCCCCAGAAAGCTATGGATAACTGCAGCTGCGCTGCCCTGTTTCCACGCACTGATGCTCCAGTGGCCTTCTCAGGACATTCAGGAGACAGAGAGGCAGAAAAGCAACAGCAGGTTTGCATAATTGTTTGCGAGAGGATGTTTGCCCTCCCAAAGTCCCTGCGCATAGAAAAGAGGCATGCAAAGAGAAGCAGCTGGATTGAAACTGGACTCTTTTCCTATGCACAGAGATTTACTGGCAGCCAAGGGCATGAACCAAGAGCCTCTTGCTTTTGAAGGCCTGGGCCAGTGGACACCCTGACCCTCAGATGATCGGGCAGGGTGCGCTTCCCCTCCCCCTTCTAGTCCCCCATTCATTCCATCCCACCTGGCTGAAACGAAGCAGAGAAGGAAGGCAGCTGGTGAAGAGGAGAGGAGCTGGAATGGAGAGGAGGAAAACAAAAAACTGTCTTACCTTCAATTTCTTCTGCTCGGGAGGAGGAGGTGGTGGTGGTGGAAAGGCGGACAGTATGAGCCAAATAATACCATCAAAACCAACCACAGGGTGGAGGTGAATGGGGAACAGAAGAGCGGAAGGAACAAAATTAAGATGAGGCACAAACCAAGCAGAAGCGAATGAAATGCACAGAAACGCAAAGGGGAAGCCACCAGGAAGTGGGGGAGAGGGGAGGGAAGCACTGGGGACAGGGGTAGTAAGGACAACCTTGTTGAGGGGGGGGGCGAGGGCCAGGACCCGGGGTGGGCAGGCGAGGATGTGTGTGTCTCAGAGGCGCTCCATTACCCCCTATTGCATTGTCAGCTACCGCACAAAATAGACCCTTGTGCATCCTCGCAACCAAAGACTTGTTTGTCGATTTAACCCAGCCTCGGGGCTTTACAGAAGCCAAAAAAATAAAAATATAAAAGACAAAAACTTTTGGGGGAAAAAAAGCCCTGGGTCAACAGATTTTAAGAACAGGAGGAATGTTTCCCAACCATAACAGGAGGGAAAGAGAAACCTATTAAAAAAAATACCCTGCTAAATTTCTTTCAGCCGGTGGAAGACCACCTCTGAAAGCCGCCGGTACTCTGCGAGGTGCTGAGATTGTGCTCCCAAAATTCCCAGCCAGCTTCCTGGATGTTTTAGTCCTGCCTGTTTAGGGAGTCCCCGGTGGGGAAGGCAGGACAGGGAGGAGAACAGGAACTGAAGAGGAAAAGGTATGCCGGACTTGTACGCTTTCCAGGTCTTGATCGATCCTGAGCTCTCTGGATCTCAGGTATCAGCACCCGAAGCTGGTCGGCCCTACCTTTCTCCAGGATGTCCTCTGCTCCGTCCTCCCACTGATCTTCATCTTCATACTCGTCATCCACATCTGGAAAGGGAGAGAATGGGGGAAACCCACACCGTGAGATAAAAAGAAAGAACTTGGCTTACTTCCCACATACAGGTAAGTCCTTGACTTATGACCACAAAGGAGCCTAAAATTTATGTTGCTATGCAAGACAGTGAAGTGAATTTTGCCCCATTTTATGGCCTTTCTTGCCACAGTTGTTAAGCGAATGGTTGCAGTTGTGAAGTTAGTCATGCGGTCGTTAAGTGAACCTGGCTTCCCTGTTGACCTTGGTTGTCAGAAGGTGGCAAAAGGGGATCACTGGACATTGCAACTGTTGTAAATATGAGTCGGTTATCAAATTTTGAACACATGACCACGCTGCAACGGTCATAAGCATAATGAAAAACAATCATAAATCACTTTTTTCAGTGCCTTTGTAACGTTGAACAGCCACTAAATGAATGGCTGTAAGTTTGAGGATGGCCTGTACTCTACACTCTCAAACCCCAACCATTAAGGAAGAGAGTTTTTACCCGCTTCGTCCAAAATAAAGCCTCCATGTCTGGGTTTTTTTGCAGGCCGATCATCATCTTCGTCTTCCTCCTCGTCATACTCCTCCTCCTCCTCCTCTTCTTCCTCCTCCGCTTCTTCTTTCTCGCTCCCTACAACGCTGGCCCGCTCTTCCGCCTGCAGGGACAAGGGAAAACCGGTCTGGCTAAACTAAGCTCAATGGAAGCAGCTTTCCTGGGAAGGCAAGGGTCGGTCCCCAAGTTTGCCAAAGGCCAATTCCTGGCCCGTGGAGGCTCAGGCTCACCTCATTCTCCACCTCCTCAGGCTCGCTGCTGCGCTCGCTCTCATCTTCGGAGAAGTTGCTGTCTTCGCTGTCGGACATCTTGACTGCACTCTGTGACCGCGGAGGAAGAGAGGGAAAATTTTGAGGTGCCGGATGGGGAAGGGTCAGACTGGGACAGGTCAAGAGAAGGACCCTGGGCGCAAAGGATTCCACGTAGCGTTTCCCTCACCCAGTGAGGGATACAACAATGAGCTGGTTTGGTCTAATGCAGGGGTCGCCAACCCTTGGGCCACGTGCTACTACCGGGCCATGCTGGCTGGGGGATTCTGGGAGTTGAAGTCCTCCAGGTTTAAAGGGGCCACGCTGGGAGACCCGAGTTAAGGGATCTCATCGATCTCGAAATCAATACCCACGCAAACAAAAATACCCTTTGGGGGAGGGGCTGGCTGGGGAAGGGGGCTGGCGGCTGGGGATGATGGGCGTTGCCGTCTCGGCCCTTGAGAGGGCGGGGCCCGTCCCGCCGGGGAGGATAGGGCTTGTGGTTCGGAGAGGAGGCCGGGGAGAATGGGGACTATAGTCCAGCGCCCTCGGGGCGCACAGGGCGAGCGGCTGGGGACGATGGGAGCTGTAATCCAAGCGGTCTGCCACGCGAGCGGGGGATTTCCCCCGGCGGGAGGGGCTCCGGAGGCGGTCAAAGGCCACCCCGCTTCTCCTGGGCGCCGCTTACCAGGTCCTCGGTTGCTCCGCCGGCGTCCCCGGCGGTCAGGGTGCCTTGCCCGGCTTCCTCCTTCCCGAGAGGGGCGAACAGAGGCGCCTCCAAGCAAAACAGAGTCCCCCGCCTCCCAACGCGGATATTCCCGCCAAGTCTCGCGAGACCCCCGGGAAGAGCGCGTCATGCGGGAGCCGGGGCGCTGATTCGACAAGGAGACTCCCGCGTGTCGGGTGTGGATGACGTCACACGGCGCTCACGCCTCAGAACCCAAGCCCGAAATAGGCGGAGATTCTGTTTTCCAACTGGCGTGCCGTTGACGTAAAAGGGTGCTGATTGGCTGGCTTGGGGAAACGTCCCAGCCAATGGCAGAGCTTGGATGCAGTGGCTGGATGGACCGGGTTGAGCATCCCTCGTGCTGGGGGAAGAGTGGCAGGTGGCAGTTCCTATCATCCGCAACAGCCTCTGTGGCAGCCGGGGATGATGGGAGTCAGGGTCCAATATTGAACAAATAATTTAAATTTAATAAACATAAGAAATAAAATGTAAGAAATAAATGCAATAAGTAACTAAATAAAAAAGAGAAAAAAGAAAGAAAGAAAGAGAAAGATGGAAGGAAGGAGGAAAGAAAGAGAGGGAAAGAAAGGAGAGAAGGAGGGAAGAAAAAAGAAAGGAAAGAAAGAAAGAAAGAAAGAAAGAAAGAAAGAAAGAAAGAAAGAAAGAAAGAAAGAAAGATGGCCAGCATCTACTGGAAGTTGGCCAGTCAAGACCCTCAGAAAGATGCTTGGAAGGGGGTTGAGGTTAAGTCGCCCCATCAGCCAGGAGGGACTTGGAGGCAGCTGCCCTCCTGCACCCTGGTCCACCTCACAGGCTCGTTGTGGGGAACACTGCACCAAACCACAATCACCTGCTAGAGAAAGGACAGGATGCCAGTCCAGCAAAGATGGCGACTAAAATGGGTGTGAGGGCGTTTGCAGCTGCTTTTGGTGGGAGGCTTCGGCTCAGCCTTGGGCTTCAGAGAGCATCTCCCCGGAAAGCCATTCCTTCTGCAGGCCACCTCTCTGCCTTTGCCACCCTTGAGGTAGCTCAACCCTTGCCTTCAATTCAAAAACCCAGATAAAATACAAAAAGCAGCAGAATAATATCTACTACCCCCTCCTCCTCTTTCTTTAGATTAGCCTTCCTCAAGGAAGGTCCTCCTGAAGTGAGATCACAGGACACATTATCCCCAGCCAGCAACTCCTAATGGACTAGGAGATCGCCACCCCATTAGCAGGGGGGATAACGAGGTGACATTTATACCGTGGTATACCAATAACCACAGATGGATCATAGGAATAGGATTCCTTTTGGATAAGGTTGAATCATAGAATCTAAGGCAGGAGTGTCTGACTGTGGCAATATTAAAGACTTGTGGACTTCAACTCCCAGAATTTCCCAGCCAGTAAATCGTGGACCACTTTATTTATTCCCAAACATCTCTAAGTTCTTGATGCAAATGTATAAATCTTGAACAACTCAGCTCCAAGTTATCTAAACTCCTTTTTTTTTTTGATAGGCCTAGCGATCTGCTGATCGATGGGATCATTAAATTGTTTTATTGTTGTTATAGTATGTGATATAAAAATATGTATTTTTTTTCCTTTGGTTTTGTTGGCTTTATTCTTTATACAGCTTCTGTAAGTCCATCTGATTTGTTGGACTGAAGTCCCATAACAAAATTTGCAACAAAGGAAAGACATAAAAAAAAAATTTTTCAGTAGCCATTGAAGGATAGCTCTTGGGAATTGGCAGAGAGCTGACCAAGTCACAAATCATTACATTTTTCCTCTGTTCTTTTGAGTCTCCTTCCACCTGGTAAAATAGAGAAGGAAAATTCACAGGAATGAAGAATACAATGGCTTTTCTCCTCTCCCTCCCTCCCTCCTTTGACAAACCAAACACAGCTACCTGGAGGATGGATTTTCTTGCGGAAATAAACTTCTGAAGCCCATAAAGTCCTTCCTGGATTCTTTAGGGGAAGATACAGGCCCCATCTGCTGTCTCAGGGACTGTCTTCTCCTCAGACTCCTGGCTCTTCATTTTCTAAAGGGAAAATTTTATCTGATGGAATTTCTCCAGGCGGGAGATATAAAAGCTCCCTGTGGAAGAAAAATTCTCCAAAATCAGTACAGATAATCCTCAATTTACAACCATCCTATCAGGGCTCCAACAAATCCACCCCCATTCAAATCATAAGTCTCTAGCTGCATATCTCCGAGAAAAAAAAAAGATTTATTAGAAGTGGCCATGTTGGCGTTAGCTGGGTGCAGCCGACACTAATATACATCATTCATTTCCCCCTTGACCCTGGCCTTCCCCCCCACCCCTGGATGTATATTCTCCAATGGGAGACATCCATAGCCCAGAGTCATCAATCATGCTCTCCCGTAATATTCTTGCGTGCCCACAACTTTGGGCTACCAGGGCGATTATCTGAGGCACTTGAGGAATGCACTGTTTTCCCCCACTCCCTTTCTGCTGGTAGCTAAAAAGAACAAAGGAGTATTTTTAGTTGACACATTCATTTAGTGACCATCCGAAGATACAACGGCACTGGAAAAAAAAGGGACACGTGACTGGTTTTTACACTTACAACCGTCACGGTATCCCCACGGTCAAATTTGGACGCTTGGCAACTGACTGGTATTTATGACGGTTGCAGCATCTTGGAGTCCTGTGATCAGCCTTTTGGCCAGGGTGGAGGTCAACTTCTCAATCTTCCATGATAGGATGAAAATACTATGAGAACTCACCAGTTCCATGAGTAAGCAGCAGCCTCCAGTGTAATCAGCCAATCTTCCTTCTGGCTTCTCTGGAAACACCACCAAGGTGTTACAGGGATACCATAATGCTACAGCTCCCACAGCTGGCTGGGGAATTCTGGGAATTGAAGTCCACAGTCTTAAAAGTTGCCGTGGTTGGACACCCGTGGCGTAAAGTCTTGCTGCTTGAGTAGCGGGTTGGGCTAGAATACCTCTGAGGTTCCCTTCCTACTCTTATTCTGTATTCTGACCTAGTCTACCTAACAGCACGACAAGAAGTAACGGAAGATTTATTTACTTAAATGGAGGATGAAGGTGATCAAAGAGAGAAGCAACTCTCTAAGGAGAAATTTCCTGACAGAACAATTAACCAGTGGAACGGCTCGCTACCAGAAGCTATGGGGGCTCCTCCATCACTGGAGGTTTTTAACAAGAGACTGGATTTGTGGGAAATGGTCTCAGGGTCTCCAGCTCGAGCAGGGCAAGGTTGGACTAGAAGACCTCTAAGGTCCCTTCCAACTCTATTCTTCTGTATTCTGCTCCCCGCCCTACAGGTGAGTCCTTACCTGCTTAGGAATGCTGAGGGAAGATGCCGTTCTTCAATTTTCCTGCACAGGCTGGGCTGCTCGGCTATTTATTCCCAAGCCCTGGGCTCTCGGCTTTTTCGTTCTCCCAGGCACAGAAGATGCTGTCAGAAGAATAATTTGGGGTTCCAACTCGAGCCGGGTCTGCACAAGAATAAATAAAAATGAGATCCAGGCAGCTGTGAGGAACGAAGAAATATTTATTCCTAATTAAAAGCAAGGAGTTTGCCTTTAAGGGGGCAAGCTGCAGAGAAAGGGGGCACAGCAGCAAACTTTTTAAAGAGGGAGCTACTCCAAGGTGTGGAAGTGTCTCTATGTGCTGATTCTAGGGTGACTCTTGAGGTGTGTGTGTGTGTGTGTAAGTATATATTCTTGTGAGCATGCAATTCCATTGAGAGGCTTAATTTAATTAACTCTAATTGCGTTTTGCAGACCTTCTCCTTTGATATGTGGATTAGGTCTGGGTAACTTATTTGGGGGGTTGAGTAATTTTGAGTAAAGGATTTTCATCCCTGTTTTGCAATTTTAACTTGCTTATTTTATTTTCAGACTAGCTCTATGCCCATGCTTCGCTACAAATCTATGTGGCCGGACTTAGTTTTTGGGGAGGAAAATAAGGGGTAAAAGTTCTGTCTCTGCCAACCAGCATCCATCAGTATTCACCTGGCTAGCATCCTGTCAGTGTGTGAGAGAGTTGAGAGCTGTTTGGAAACTGAAACAGCATTTGCGGTGTGAGCAAGGAGACAGCAAGGAGCCTGGGTGTGGCTTAGCTCAACTGTTCTGTACTAAAGCTGCTTGGTGCTGTGAAACTGAAACTCCTCTCCTCTGCTTGTGTTTTGCATTTGGAAGAGATTTCTTTTCAGGTGGGGAGGGGGAGTAGAACTCCTTACCATCAGAGCGTGTTAATAATAATAATAATAATAATAATAATAATAATAATAACAATAACAATAACAATAATAACAATAATATACGAAATACTAATGCTCTGGTGGTCCTTTCTTAGTGAGCGCCTAGAAGCAGAGAGGAACATATGGGCCAGATTTCAAGTTTGTAGGCTTTACGGTTTTGGAGATTTTGTGGTGATGCGTGAGTGGTATTTTGCTTTTATATAGATAGATTGTCAATTATCTAGTGGAGATGCCAATTCCCAGATTCCCAGTGTGGAATCTGTTAATGTTTTAAGGGAAGATGGGAACGGTATGAAGAATAAAATATATCCGGGTATGAAATTTCTCACAATGCCCATCAGCCCTTGTGCGCCAGGGCATGGTTGCCAGAACCCCTGGCTCTCCTTCTTGCATTCACCTGGATGGTCAACAGGTTCAAGATGCCTTCGTCCGTCATCCCTGATCAGCTCACCAGCCTGGAAAAAGGCCCCCTTCCTCTCTGCAGGTGGGAGGCAGCCTCCTAGGGTGGCACCAGCTCATGTTTAACTTCAGCTAGACTTGGTGGTCCTTTGCCGTGGACGTGGGAGAGGAAGCGGTGGCCTGGGGGGTGAGGGTGGACTTTCCAGGCCCTGGACTTGGGCAGAAGTCTTTTGCACTACACCTCCACTGAAACATCTCCAGGAGGCTCCTCAGGAAAGCCATGGCGGGCTTCTCTGGATGATTGTGGCACGGTGGGTAGGTGGCACAGCGGCTGATCCCGCCGGTCTTCTGCAGCTTCCTTGTCAGCTGTGCCATGCGCCGGATGAGCCGGGAGAGGGTGTCGGAGGGCTCCTCCTGCTCCTCCTGGATGACCTGCAGTTCCAGGTAGAAGCAGTCCAG